TTCTGGTATTGGGACTAAGTATGGGGCTGAAGTAGATGGTAGATCGGCTGGGTCAGAAGTGGATCCTTCGTCTGCTCGTGATGTGGAAGTAGTGGGAAGAGTTGTGGCAGAGGGTGGAGAAAGACTCTTCTTCTTCTTTTTCGGGACGTCGGGCAGTGTGGATTTGTATGTCGGAATAAAATTCAGTAACAGGGGAGCCTTGCGCTTATGGATTGGAAGAGCTAGGAGCTTCTTTAAATCTTTTCCTGGGAAAAGGATTGGCAGAAGTTTTTTGGTGGCTGATGAAGATCTGCAGGACAAACAAACAAGACATTAGAAACAGAAAGTTTTGAAGACCTGAAAAAGAAATAACTAAGTATTGGCGCTGAGCTCTTACCCTTGCCCTCTTTAACTGTTCGAGTAAGAAGGTAGAGGTGAACATCTTCGTCTGGACCAAATTCCCAATTTCCCGAAGCAATGACAAAGCCATCCCCGGCTCCCTTGTTAGAGTCCGGGAGGTCGGCTACAATTTTGAATTCAGTAGACCTCGGCTTAAGGTAGTAGACGTAACCTCTTTCCTTCAGGTTAAGGGGGCACATGGTATAACAATACTGCACATCGGCAAGGGTGATCCTAACATTCTCCTGCCTAGCTAGGGCTATGATAACATTAATCACTCGATAGGAGTTGATGGTAAGTTGCATAGGGTTCAACTTGTAAAAGTGAAGAATTTCGCGAAAAAGAATGTTAAGTGGGAACCGGAGTCCGCACTCAGTAAAAGCTACTATGGGAAAGGGCATTGAAGCATCTGTGGGCATGATAGAGTCATTATCTTCTCTTCAGCTAGCCTCAGATGGATATCGGCGGGAATAGAGAACTCCCGCCTAAAGTACTCAAGTTTAGTCGGGGTATCTACCCTATGTCTCCACATACCCATAACGTCGGCCTGAAATCAGAGGGCTAGATTTCAGAAAGAAGGTGTTGTCAAGGGGTTATTGGGACCTCGGCAAAACCCTAGGTAAGGACTGATATGGCTTGTTTCAGTTTTTTCCTAAAAATTGAAGGCTCTACAGACAAAACCCAAACCTAAATCTATGAAGGCAAAGATTGAAAGCAAGAATTAAAAGCAGAGATCTGGAAAGGAAAAACAGAAAACAAAAAACAAAGAACGACGTTTCAGAATCAAAGAACAGAGGTATGGTTCTTAAAAAGTAAAGGAAATACAGAAGAAAAAGGTCAAGAACAGTGGCAATAAAAGTGTTGAAACAGTGCAAGTGTTCAAGATATGGGTAAAAATCATGAATAGACACATCCAGATAGATAGTTCAGTAAATCAAAGGTTTGAAACAAAGCAGTAATGGCAGTACGTAAAACGAAAGCACATAGAAGAAATTGGGAATGAGAGGAGCGAAGGCTTAGCAAAACAAAAGACGCCGGAATAAGAGTCGCCGAGGTAAAGCAGCGGTTGCAGACACAACGGAACGACGAAAGCTTCAATGAAGGAATGAAGACGATTGCAGAGCTTCGAGCAAGATCAATGGCGGATTTGAGAAAGTTTAGAGAGAGAGAAAAAGCCGAATACAAAAGTAAAGAAGTGAAGATGAAAAGAAAAGTTTTGTAAAAAACTCGAAACGGCGACAAAAACACGGCATTTATTGTGCCTGGAGGAACGCGTGCGTCAGACGGCGCAGACGGATGAAAGACGATTTACAGGCGCGTCGCGGACACGGGCCAATAAGGATGTAACACGTGAATAAAACAGTTGAAAAGTGATGTATGACAGCTCATACGCATAAAGGGATTCATTTGAAGTTCTTATTCTCCGATGAAGACATGTGGGCCTAACGTGAATGATCTCGGCCAAAGAGCTCTTACGCCGAGGTAATAGAAGAAAATACAGATATAGGTTCCATCACCTCAGAATGACAAGGTAATTGAAGCTAGGGGGCAGTTGTGGGGATATATTTTCTGAGTACCAACACATGGCATGATGACGCCGACGTATTAGCCGAGGTGCCACGTGTCGTGGTAGCTGTGCCGAGGTTATCTTGGCGATGCCGAGGTTATCTCCAAAGATATCAGAATCCGAGATAAACGGATAGGGAATAAGAGTTCTAGAGAAAAGATAAGACTTTGCTAAGATAAGGATAAAACTCTAAGGGAGTTTATCTTTATCTCTTGAGGAATCCAAAGTAAGTACTAAATTGGAGTCCATAGAAGTCAGACTTCTAGTGGGACTTGGATTTAGTAAACTATAAAAGAGAGGCACCCCCGTGGGTCTAAGGTACGCAGTT